CGTTTGCCAGGAACCTCCGGTTTTTTATTTCAAATCCGAGTTCAACACTATTTATAAGTAACCTGTTCTCTTCAGGGAGGTGCAAAAGACAATTGCTTTTTCATGGGTAAATTTCCTTTTTTATGTTTAATTAGAGCGAGCCTATTGGCGAGCGACTGTGGTCTGTTTTATTTGAAGACTAGAATCTTTTATATGGGTTTTATTCTTATCAGAGGATAGCAATAATGCTTTTTATAACGAACATAGAATGGTAAAGTGGTATCTTGTAACGCGTATGTGGTGATTCGTACGGATGTAACTGTAGATAATAAATTGCGAATTGTTTATTCGTGGCCAGTGGTCTCAAGCATCAGGCTACTGGTTTTTCCCGTAGCGCATCTTTATTATCGATTTTATTTCATATTGGCTCTTTGTTTCATTCACTTTTTCAAAAGTATTAATTTTAACTGTTTAACTTGTTATATGAGGAAATACTTGAAAAAAGTTTATGACGGATAAATTGCAACATTGTCGTACTACCGGGTAATGCTAACACACCAAATCAACTAATTTCGATATTCCAGTCAGTGCCTGATGAGGACATAGGCGTTAGCGTATTAAGGGCGGGGGGCACAAGGACTGAGTGCAATGAGTTCCCCTCTTGATCGGAGAGTACATAATTAAATTGGAGAGAAGGGCCCTCGCATGGCGAGTTTGGTCTTATACCAGCTATTACCTACACCTAATAATCGGAAATGAAAATTGCGCAAAAATGGCATTTTGGAATGCACATATTTTTCAAAAATTACTGGCTCTACTGTGGGCAGGGGATAACATCCTCTCCCCCGTTGGATTGCTTCATCGCATGTGCTTTGGTCGCTTAACCTCTTTTTTCCCTCCCTTGAAAAACACGTGGCTTCGACTACTCACGATTTTCACGTGGTCTAGCTAGAGGTTCCACCCAATGGTCGTGCTGTATACCTTCAGGAAGCCTTACGGCGTCCAACCAGCCAGGGGTGCCATCGTCCCACGTTGATCAGATCGGAGTGGAAAAAATAAAAAGCGAGTTAGTTGTAGTTATAATATTTAATGACGTTATTAAAACTGTGCTGGCCCCCGGTCACCGGGTGATTCCAGCCACCGCAACATAGTGGTAGACTGGCTCATTACTTAGGGCTCCAGAAAAAGAATATTTTGCGGAAAGTGCGCATTTAAAATGGAGAGGAGGTATTCTAGCATAGATTTACATGATAAAATTCAATGAGTAGATCTCTCTTAAGAAATAGGAAGAAGACATTGCATGTAATGTGCACGCTGCATATATACCAGTCAGTACACAATCTGGCCACGCTAGTGTGTTAGCGCATGCGCAATATCACCAGAGAAGTTAGATTTTGTCATGAATATGCATTTAATATGGTTAGGGGGTATCTCAGCATAGATTTATGTAATAAATTCTTATCAGTAGCCATGTGTTTATAATTCGGAGAGCTCCCTATAGCATGTAGGGTGCAAAACGCCTACTTCACCCAATCCTGTCATTTCCCTTGCCTCCCTTATCCCTCTCTCCGCTTCATTGTTTTTCTGCCGCCTCTCAGCTATCTTCCTTGACGCCTTTCCTCAGTCTCTCACACCTCTCTCTCTCACCCAGCTAAATTATGTAGGGTTCTTCAGCCCGTACTGCATGCCTGAAATGGTTGCTCGCGCATGCGCATTATCTCCCGAGAAGAAAAATATTTTGCGAGGATTATGAATTTAAAATGGAGAGGAGGTATTCTAGCATAGATTTATATGATAAAATCCTGTCAGTAGACCTCTCTTAAGAAATAGGAAGAAGATATTGCATGTAAGGTGCACGCTGCATATACCAGTCAGTACAGAATCTGGCTACGTTAGGGTGTTAGCGCATGCGCAATATCTCACCAGAGCAGTTATATTTTGCGATGAATATGCATTTAGTATGGTCAGGGGTATCTCAGCATCGATTTATGTAATAAATTCTTATCAGTAGTTCTGTGTTTATAATTAGGAGAACGCCCCATAGCCTGTAGAGTGCAAAACTCCTATACTTCACCCAATCCTGTCATTTCCCTTGCCTCCCTTGTCCTTCTCTCAGCTTCATTGTTTTTCTGCCGCCTCTCAGCTATATTCCTTGACGCCTTTCCTCAGTCTCTCACACCTCTCTCTCTCTCTCTCTCTCTCTTTCACCTAGCTAAATTGTGTAGGGTTCTTCAGCCCGTACTGCAGGCCTGAAATGGTTGCTCGCGCATGCGCATTATCTCCAGAGAAGAAGAATATTTTGCGAAGATTATGCATTTAAAATGGAGAGGAGGTATTCTAGCATAGATTTAAATAATAAAATGCCATCAATAGACCTCTTTTAAGAAATAGGAAGAAGGTCTTGTATGTAAGGTGCACTCTGCATATACCAGTCAGTACAGAATCTGGTTACGTTAGGGTGTTAGCGCATGCGCAATATCTCACCAGAGAAGTTATATTTTGTGATGAATATGCATTTAATATGGTCAGGGGGTATCTCAGCATAGATTTATGTAATAAATTCTTATCAGTAGCCATGTGTTTATAATTAGGAGAACGCCCTAGCCTGTAGGGTGTAAAACTGCTACTTCACCCAATCCTGTCATTTCCCTTGCCTCCCTTGTCCCTCTCTCAGCTTCATTGTTTTTCTGCCGCCTCTCAGCTCTCTTCCATGACGCCTTTTCGCAGTCTGTCACACCTCTCTATTTCTCACACCCAGCTATATTATGCAGGTTTCTTCAGTCCGTACTGCAGGCCTGATATGGTTGCTCGCGCATGCGCATTATCTCCTAAGAAGAATAATATTTGCAAAGATTATGCATTTAAAATGAAGAGGAGGTATTCTAGCATAGATTTATATAATAAAATTCTATCAGTAGACCTCTCTTAAGAAATAGGAAAGAGATCTTGCATGCAAGGTGCATATGCTGCATATACCAGTTAGTACAGAATCTGGCTACGGTAGGGTGTTAACGCATGCGCAATATCTCACCAGAGAAGTTATATGTTGAGATGAATATGCATTTAATATGGTCAGGGGGTATCTCAGCATAGATTTATGTAATAAATTCTTATCAGTAGCCTGTGTTTAATTAGGACGCAGCGCCCTATAGCCTGTGTTAGCGTGTTAAAACGCCTACTTCACCCAATCCTGTCATTTCCCTTGCTTCCTTGTCCTTCTCTCAGCTCATTGTTTTTTTGCGCCTCCACCATCTTCCTGACGCCGTTCTTCAGCGTCTCTCACAACTCTCTCTCTCTCTCTCTCTGCTCTCTCTCTCTCTCTCTCTCTCTCTCTTCTCTCTCACCCAGCTAAATTATATTAGGGTTCTTCAGCCGTACTGGCCGACGCCTGAAATGCGTTGCTCTGCGTGGATCCGCATTATCTCCAGGAGGAATATATATTTTGCTCCGAAAGATTATGGCCATTTAAAATGAGCAGGAAGGTTCAATTTCTAGCAGTGTATTAAATAATAAAATGCCATCAATAAGCCTCTTTTAGAAGAGGTGTAGGGAGAGGAAGAGATCTTGTATCGTAAGGTGCACTCTTGC